AAAAAAAAAAAAAAAAGAAGACACTCTGGGGATGTAGCTCAGTGTAAAGGTCTGGGTTCAACCCCCAGTTACATGCACAAGGATACACACACACACACACACACACACACACACACAGGCATTAGAGATTCAAAGCCTGATTCGGCCATTTTAAGAATGTATAAGCTGCATAACTTACTTAACTTTACTCTGTGCTTAAATTTCCTAGTCTGGAGATATCTGTAGGACCTTCACTCCATGTGGTCTCGTGAAAATTAAGTAACTTACATGTAAGTACTTGGTAGAACCGTCTCTGGTACATGGCTGGCACTGCCTACACGTTAGCTAAAACTGCCATCGTATTTTCCTGACTGTGGGAACATGTAAGACAACATATGCAGGCCAGCTGTGATGGGGCACACCTGTAACCCCACACGTGGGAAGTGGAGGCAGGAGGATCACTACAAGTTCAAGGCCAGCCTTGACACTGTTGCAAAATGAAATGAAGGCAGAAAAAAGAGTGAACATATTTAGAGAATTAAGCACAATGTCTACTGCCCTGGAGTGGAAAAGCCTGTGGCTTTTTTTGTTTGTTTGTTTTAATCATTAATTAATTAATTAATTTATTTGGTACAGGGTCTCGCTACGCAGCTAGGACTTGTAGTGATCCTCTTGTGTACGCCTCCCCAGAGCTGAGATTACAGACACGAGCACCACGCCTGGTTTCTGTGGCCAGCCTAGCACCTGGGGCCAGCAGGGCATGCAGTACCAGTACCAGGGATTGAACTCAAGTCCTCCTGCTTGCCAGGCAGGCGCTTAGACTGATGAGCTATCTCCCCAGCCCAAATCTGTGGTTTTTACAGACATCTTTCCTCAAGTTTCTGATGTAACACTGAGAAATTCCAAAATCCTTTCCAGAGGTCTAAAGCTGCAATAAATATAATTTATTTATTGAGAGAAAAAGAGAAAAACTTCCAAATTATAGCTTGGGCAAAAAGAATAGTAGTACATTAAGTATGCCAACTGCCTTACCATAAAACCCTCGAGCTGAGAAAAGAGATGGTAAGGACACAAAGGTGAACATTCCAAGGTAAAGCACTTGGACAAAGGGAAGCATCAACGATGAGCATAATGTTAGAGACGAATCTACAGGGCTGTGACCACAAAATGACTCCAAGGCTACGACAACAGTCTTGAAAATAAAGAAAGGATGGATTTGAACTTATGCCCAAGAGCAAAACTCTGGGCAGTTCTTATTGGGTATGCTAGACATTACTTACACTTTTGAAGGAAGCTGCAAATTCAGCAACACCTGGTACTAAAAAAGAAAGAAAAAATTATTCATTTACTAAACATTGCCTTACCAGACACAGGATTCAAAGGATTAAAAGCAGTGCTGCCTTCAGGTAGCTGACAGCCTGGAAGAGGACAGAGACTGTTGTATCAGTGACTACGGCACTAAGTCCTCCAGAAAGAAGGTAGAGTGTGCGGGAGGCCAAAATGGGAATCCAATCCGACTGGGGTGGCAGCCAAAGCCTCTCCAAGAAAGTAATAGCTCACTAAACTTTAAAAGACCAGGAATTAGCTAGCTGGAAGGGTGGCAAGACACAGCATTTCTTCTTTTCTCTCTCTCTCTCTTTTTTTTAATGTATTTTTTGTTTTCTTTCTACGGGGTCTCACTCAGCAGCTCGGACTCGCAGTGATTCTGCTATTTTCAGGCTCCCCAATGCCGGGACTACAGGCGTGAGCCACAACACCTGCTCTCAGTGGCTGGCTCAGGGCACCCAGGGGTGGGGCCACCCAACACCCATGCACAGCATTTCTTTTTCTGTGGCCAGCTCAGCCCACGCTGGGGGCGGGTTGGCGAGGCCTGTGGTGCTGGGGAATCCAACCCGGTCCCTGCACTCTTGCCGAAGCTTGCCTGATCAGGCGCTTTGGCCCACTGAGCTATCTCGCTGGCCTAGACAGCAGCATTTTTTGCCGGCAAGAGCTTACGCTCTTTTTAGTTTCACAGTTCTCTGTCAAACCAGTTGTTTAACTGCCTCACAGAAGTACTGCATGAAAAAGCAGAGCAACTGTGTGTGCGCCAGCCCACCCAGGACACGCTGAGACGCGACTGAGCCTGGGCCTGCCGGTGTGAGCCGCAATCCCAGCACTGGGAAGGCTGAAAACAGGAGGATCACTCCGAGTCGGATCTGTGTACTGAGACACTATGGACCCTGTACTAAATACGTAAGAATAAATAAATAAATAGCAGAGAAGTACAAATGTGATATTTAAAAGTGAAGTAACACTCATAGATAATAAAAATAATACAAATTGGAGCCACCCAACATTGGGTGTCAGCATGACCCGGGGTGGGGCTGGCACGGCAGGCCCGGGGAGGGAACCCCTGGCCCCTGTGCTTGCTTGCAGCCACTTTAATCTGATGAGCTATTTGGCTGGCCCTGCATGAAATTATTATAAGTAACTTTGCAGTGGTGATTAAAGGAGCCAAGGAAATGCTTCATGTATCCTCACAGTACCATCTGAGCTTGTTACCGATTACTTCTTTCGGGTAATTATTATTGGGCATGGTGGTACACACCTGTGATCCCAGCACTAGTGCAGACCGAGGCAGGAGCATCGCTTCAGGTTCCAGGCCAGCCTGCGCTACATAGTGAGTTCAAGGCCAAGTTCAAAGAGCTACATGCGGGGAGATAGCTCAGTGGCTTACGTGCCTGCCCGGCAAGTGCAAGGTCCTGAGTTTGATCCCTGGTACCGAGAAAAGAAAAAACTATATACAGACCCTGTCCCCAATCCCCCCAAAAGTAATTATTAAGACTCATAACTTCCTGTGAGTGTTCTAAAAAATAAAACTACAAAAAGCAATTATTAACAGTGGATATCAACCTCTTTAAAGTACAACAAAAAATTTCAATTATTACTGTGATATTAGGATTCTTCCAAAATTTTTTCAAGGAAGCACTTGTTCTCTTACATGAAGTCTGATAGAAAGCAAAGACTTACATTGTTCTGGCCAAAGATCTGGCGAAGCACGGTCAAGTTTTTCAAAACTTAGCAATGATGCTTCCAAATCCGTCCCTGAAACAAAGACATTTCGAAGTCAAAGAACACACACTAACGCACTCAAGTGGAAGTCTGGGTTGAGGCCTATTCCTCAGCGGATGCTAGAATGTAGTACAAATAAACCACCCTCTCTCACTAAATCTCACTCTTCCAATCTATAAAATGCGAGTATATGCACAGGAGCGTTAGGAACAAGCACTGACAAACCTCTCTGTGCCTTGGTTTGCACCCCTGGGCTTCCCCCTGCCGATAATTGGTGAAGCACCCTGCTCCTGAAAGCCCAGCTCCCCAGCCAGGGATCTATGCGTGTCTTCCTGCCGCCAAGGCGTCACCTGAATAGTCTTCCTCCTCCACCACCATTCTCATCTCCAGGCTTGCACTCAGCAGCAAGCAATCATGCTCAGCATCTCCCTTTAAAAAGCACTTTCCCTCAACCCAAGATCTCTTTTCTCGGTAAGAGACATCTTTGGAAATCTGAAAAGATGTGAATGCACTCCCCACCCCACTCCCCCCAAAAAAAGGTACAAATGTGTAAGAGTTTTCAACATGAGCTTTGCTTTAAACTGAATTTCTTTAAACAAGTATTCCAAGGGAATTTCCAGTGATATTACAACTGGAAAGGAACTGAAGTCTAATACATTGGCTTTTAAGTCACCTAAAACTGCCCCAAAAGAAGAGCTGTGTGTCCACAATATGTCAACTTGGGAGTTCTCTGCTAATGCAGAGCTCAACCATAGTAAAAACAAACATTGTGTGGTAGGAACCAATACCCAGGGGGCAACCCTTCAATACACTGTTGAGGACATAATACTGACTCTGCCATGAGTCTCATAAATTAACAGCTAGACAGCTTTACTTACATTGCAGTTTTCTCTTTTTAACATGGAACTGACCTAATCTTATTTTCCTTTATTTTAGATTTTGGTACTAGGAATCGAACTCAGGACCTTGTGCCTGCCACACAGGCACCTGGAACACCTGGCCCTATTCTTCTTTTCTTTTCTTCTTCTTCTTCTTTTTTTTTTTCAGAACTGGGGATTGAACTCAGGCCATCCTAATCTTATTTTCAAATGAACATCTGAATTAAATCTTACAGACAGAGACAGTTGGAACACTAAAAATAGAAGTGAGATCACCATAGTAAACTATTTTATGATGAGATACTTATTTACAACTTCTATTTATTTATTTATTTATTTCTATGTATTTGGTTGTTGCAGGGTCTTACTACAAAGCTCAGACTCATGGTGATCCTCCTGCTTTCAGCCTCCCCAGCGCTGGGATTATACATGCATGCCACCACATCTGGACTCTAGCTGGCTCAGCCCACCCTGGGGATGGGGCTGGCAAGGCATGCAGTGCCAGGGATTGAGCCACAATCCCTGTGCTTGCCTAAGCCTGCCTAAGCCTGCCTAAGCAGGCTAGTCGGCTGAGCTATCTTGCTGGCCCCTACAACTTCAATTTAAATCCACAGTGTTCAACTTCATTTTACCAGATTACAAAGGTAAAACTAGTTGGAGAGTGATAAATTCTAAAAGAGACAAGAAGAAACTTTTAAAAAATCAAGATTACAAACAAAGTGACCACAGAGAAAGTGAGACAATCCAGGGGAAAAAAATACATTTTCAATACCCTTCTTGGACAAAGAAAGAAAAAGAAATTGAGGGCAAAGGAGAACAACAACAACAACAAAATCCAACACATGCTAGCTGCAGTGGGGCACGTCTGTAATCCTAGCACTCTGGAGGCAGAGGCAGAAGAATGGCCAGTCTGAGCCCGACCTGACAACTTAGTGAGACAGTGTCTCAAGTTTATAAAGTAATGTTTTAAAGGGGCTGGCAGTGTAGCTCAGTGTGAAGTACTAACAACAAAATCAAACACAAGAAACATAGCTTCAAAATTTCCAAGACTCATAAAAACTTAGTAAGTTTTAAGCAATTAGCTGTCACGTGGCTGACTTTGTGTATGTGTACATGTGAAAGTTATATAAAACTAACCATTTTAATAATGTTAAATGTAGTTCAATGACATTAAGTGCATTAATATGTACAACCATTATCACTGTCCATTTCCAGAATTTTTGCATCTTCTCAAAATGAAATATAAACTTTTTTTTTTTTTTTTTGGCAGAACAGGGGATTGAACTCAGGCCCTTGCGCTTGCCAGGCAAGCACTTATTCTACTGAGCCATCTCTCTGGCCTTGAAATATAAACTTTCCATTCCCTTGGCTGACTCGTTAAATGCCATTTCTTTTCTAGCAAAAGAAACTGCGTGCGTATGTACGTGTGCACACGCATGTAATTTTGTGACAAAGAAACTTTTATACTTTGACTTTTTAAAACTGTGCATCACCTTTTCCTTTCCAGTGAAAAAAAGAAATAAAAACTTAAACTAAATTACAACAGAGAACGTCAATTCCAAATAAGACTCTATAGGTTCTGCTGATTCTCTCATCAAACAGCAAGGCTCAAGTCATCATCAGGAGATAATTTTACTTTAAAAGTATCATCTTAAACTGTAAGGATCAGCTGGGTGTGGTGGCATATGCCTGTAATCGCAGCACATGGGAGGCTGAGGCAGGAGAATCACCACCAGTTTATGGTGCACCTGGGCTATATAACGAGATCAAAACTAGACTAAAGGGGCCAGGGAGATGGCTCAGTAGAATAAGCACTTCGCTGGTAAGCACAAGGGTCTGAGTTCAATCCCTGGTTCCATCTAAAAAAAAAAAAAATACAGATTCTTTTTTTGTTTGTTTGTTTTTGTGTTTTGGTGGAAAAAAAAAAAAGAAAGAAAGAAAGAAAGATGTCAAAGGATATGCCATGTGGTCAAATGCCCACTTAACCCAAAGTACCTCATTTTAAAGTTATTTTTTTCTTTTTTAAACAAGAGAAAGAAGACAGGAACTTGTTGGTAAATACTATGTCCACATTCATATAGTGTAATATCTGAGCCCAATGTACAGAAAAAGGGAAAAAGCGAGAACTCTGCACCCTCCAGCACCCAGCAAAGCGAAGGGAGCGGAGGGCTGCTCTTTCCCAGAGAGTACAGTGGTGCTGAATCCAGTTTGTGTAAAGACAGGAGGGGATCAAAACGAATTCAGAGCAAAAGTTTGTAGAGATCCTTTTTCCACTGCGTTCTGTTCAAGGTCTCTCTGCACAAAGTCAGTCAAGAACCACAGTGCTTGTGAAGAGAGGCCTCAAGAGCTGGATGACAGGCTGGAGTTGTAGCCTAGGAGTCAAGTGCTTACCAAGAACTCGGTGACAGAGCATGAGGGGGGAAGAGTGGCAACCTGCTCCCAGGGATGGCAGAAAGTTTTCTTTTTTTTTTTTTTTTTTTTTTTTTTTTTTTTTTTTTTTTTTTTTTTTTTTTTGGTGGAACCGGGGATTGAACGCAGGCCCTTGCGCTTGCCAGGGAAGCGCATATTCCACTGAGCCATCTCCCTGGCCCCAGAAAGTTTTCTTAAAAAGGGAAAAAAGTTCAGAATCCATGAGTGTTCAATTAGTCATCCTTCATCCTCCTCCACACTCCTCTTCCTTGTCCTCCTCCTCCTCTTCTTTCTCACCACCTTCATCCTCTTCATTGATGTCTTCCAACCCTTCCTCATCACCATCAACTCCATCACCTTCCTCCTCATTCACATCAGGAACCAGGCAGTACTGCAGTGGATTTGGCCAAATGTCATCTTGGAGGATCTTTCCTAGCTCATGTGCACCCGTATCAGAATGGTCAGTAAACCAGGGACACAAGCTCTTGGCTTCTTTGTACTGCCTCTTCCTATCAGCTTAATTTCAGAGGACTTTGAAGATGGGTCACCACCCCCATTGAAATGAAATTCTTTGGAAAGAATTTTATAGTTTTATTTTCCAAGTAAGGATTTTCATCAAGGACTGGGAGATAGCTCAGTGTCATAATTGCCTGCCTGGCAAGTGCAAGGTCCTGAGTTCAATGCCTGGTGCCACAAAAAAAAAAAAAAAAAAAAAAAGATTTTCATCAAAATAAAAATCTATTCTGAAAAAAAAAAAAATCTATTCTGTAACCTGATTTTGTATCTTCAAATCCTGTCATGTTGTCTCAGGTCAAATACTGCAGTGCTTCATTTTCTTCTCCAAACAGTGTGGACATTTGTGGATGGTTAACACATGTTACTCAAACTTTGGGATTTTGGCGATCAATTCTGACCTCTTCTGAAAAAATGGTTTGTTACATTTCTGTTCTACTTTCAATATCTTCTTACTGGTTTGTTCATTAAGTCTATTTCATTTTGCACTTCATCAGTATGTTCAACTGCTTCTTGCTCTTTTTCTCTCTTGGGCAGGCCCAGCAAGGGAGATGCTACCTTGCATTTGGGGGCCAGAGACCGTCGGGGTTCTTGGTCAGAGGGATGGGTGAAGTCTGGAGGGCTGGGGCCATGAACCGAGGGAAGCTCTAACACCAGCTCCAGGGTCATCTCAGGCCATGCAAAGCAGATCAGGAACTCAGAAGAAACTTTTAATAAGAAAGCACACCAAGGGCCGGGGAGATGGCTCTGTGGAATAAGCGCTTTCCTGGCAAGCGCAGGGCCTGAGTTCAATCCGAGGTTACCCGTTCCCCCAACAAAAAAGGAGGGGCAGAGAGAGAAAGAGAGCATAGTCCTGAAGATCCATAATTTCTTATGGGGTGTGTCCTTGTGCTCAAAAACCTTAAGACTCAGGTGAACCTAAAACTTAAAAATCAAGTAGTATATTATTTCTGGACATGTTCATTGAAGGCTGACTGCCAGGCGCTGGGTTAAGCCTAGAATCCAACTACAAATAAGAGATTGGAATTTATAATAGGGCATGAAAAGAGCAACGTTAATAAAACAACTATGCTGACAATAAAGATACTGAGATAGTGATTGAATAGACGGGCAACTCCATATACTGTGCTCTAGTTAAGCCTCTTTGGGAGGGGACATAAAACGAGAACTGAACGACACATGGGGCTTGGCTTGGGGGTGCACGCCTTTAATCCAGACACTTTGGGAAAAGTGAGGCAGGAGGATCCCAAGTTCCTTCCAGCCGCGTCTGTTTAGCAACTTGGTGAGATCCTGCCTTAAAAATTACAAAAGTTTTTGAAAAGACTTCATGATGTAGCTCAAGGAGAAGGTCGAGTTCAATCCCCAGTGCAATAAAACAAAACTCTGAAACTGAGAAGACATTCGTGTCTGACTCATCCTGCCACCTCGCCAAGCACGCACCACTTGCTTTTCGTACAGCAGATATGCATACAGCTCTTCTAGGCCTCGGTTTCCTCATTCCTGAACTAAACGTCCACGATTCCCTCCAAACAGCACGTCTGAGAAGGGAAAGCTATTTATCAATGAAATAGGCGCGGGGATGAGGGAGGCAGAAGCAAAAACTGAGTTCAAAAAGCAGTGCAAGCCCTCACTTCACTGAAGCAGAGCACAGCAAAACCACCGCACCGAGCCCCTACCTGAAACGTCTCGCATCCTGGACAACACATAGGCAGAAACTGCTCATCCCTTCAACCCAAAGAAACCACGCACAAAAGGAGGCGCCAAAGTGGGCGAGACGTGTGCAAAATCACGTTAAAAAGGTCAACCCTCACTGCCCTCGAGACTGTCACGGCAAGGGAATGCGAGGTCCCTCCATTTCTCCTTGCTGCCAGGGCAACCGCCCTGACTGAGAGATCGGAGAGAGCGGCTCCATCCTTGCTCCAGAGAGCCCGTATGCGGCGCCCAGAGCAGGGAGCTCGGAAGGCGCCTCCCTCCCGGCGACACTCCCTCTCGGGCCCCTCGCCCCACCCGACGGAGCCTCGCCAGGGCCAGGGCAAGCCCCGTCCTTCCACGCTGAGCTGGCCCCGCGCAGCTGGCCTTCTGCACCGACGACACCCACAGCCGAATCTGTGTGACTCCTGAGTCGCCGGGAAGAGCAGGCGAGCTGAAGGCACGCACGCCGCCCACGGCAAAGGTGTAAAAGAGAAGGAAGAGGAGCCCAAGGAAGAGGTGTAACTGCGAAGGGCAGGTGGAGAGTGGAAAGTCCCAAGGAAGCAAAAAAGACTGCAGGCCAAAATTTCTAAGCCGGCTCTTACCGTCCGTGGGAGACGCCATCTTCCAACCCATGTCACGTGACGTGGCCAACCGTCGGCGGGAAAGGGAGGCCCACAAGCCACGCCCCGAAAGAGAGAGCCTATCCCCCACTCGCACCTGTCTCGTTCCCCCGCCCCCCGGGGCAACATTTGCCTGTCCCCGCCCCTGGCCGCCACGCCCACCGCGCGGTGGTTCAACCCGAGCCCCAGCAAAATTCTTGGAGCCGCGGGCGCACCTCGGTGGGGGGCGGAGCCTCGGCTGCGCACGTGGCCAATCCGGATTTCGGGTTAGGGGGCGGTGTCCCCGCGTGCTTAATATAGTGCACCCCAATCGGGGCGACTCGGTGTCTCCGCCAATAACATTATCGCAAGTGGGAGGGAGCAAGGGCTCCAGGTCTGACCAATCACACATCTCCAACACTAGCAATGGCGAGGCGGGGTCAAGTGTTCGCGCACGTGATTGGCTAGGAAAGACCGTCGCGTCCCCAGTGGGAGGTCCGGCAGGATGGAGGGCGAGGCTTGGGGCCCGGACTGCGCGAGGAGCGGCGCGGCGCGGAGCCGAGCGGAGGCGGCCGAGGGCCATGGCGGCGGCGGCGGCGGCGGCGGCGGCGGCGGCGCGGGCGCGGATTCTGCAGGCGAGTGAGGGTGGCTCCGACGCTGGGAATGGATCCTTTCCAGCCCTCCCTGAGCCGTGCACCAGCAGGAGCGACCTTTGGGGCCCGCCTCTTCTCGGCCCACCTGACCCTCCGCCCCTGTCCCCTCTCGCCGCTTGCTGTCCCCCGCCTGGGACGCAGCCCTGCACTGTCCCCGCCCTCTGCCCTTTTGTTCCTGAGCCGCCTCCTTTCGGGTCCTGCCGAGCCCGTTTGCTTGCTGCCACCTCGTCCGACAGCCGTCTGTCCATTTTCACCTCTGCACGTCTTTCCCTCTCCCGGGAAGCGCCCCTTTCTGGTCACCTGCCTTAGAGCGCTTTCTTTTGCTGGCACCGTCCAAGTTGCCACACACACACACACACACACACACACACACACACACACGCCATCTTCTCTGTTCTTAGTGCGAGATGGAGGGGAGGGCGCGTGCAGGGGCGAGAAGGCGAGGGTCAGCGGTTGAACTTTGAATCTTTTAGAAACATACAGTAGGTTTTCACCGGAGACACTCATTTGGCAGGCAATTTTTGCTCTTTGTATTTCTGTAAATATTTGCTCTTTGTGTTTCTACAAATTGTGAACTTTCTTGCCAAGACATTCAGTTAAACTTTTTTTTTCTTGGTCTTTTTGAGACAGGATCTCGCTATGTAGTCCAGCCTGTCCTCACACTCACTTTGTAGCCCAGGCTGGCCTTGAACTCACAGTGGTCCTCCTGCCTCAGCCTCCTGCCTAGTGGGATTACAGGCCTGTGCCACGGTACCTGTCCTAATTAAACGTGCAATCCAGTTAAGGTGTTTAGGCTGGAGGTAAATGAGGACACATCTTAAGCTACTACTGTGTTTCACGTAGTTCGAACATCTTTCCAAGCAGGTGATAGAAAATGGGAGCTGAGGAAGACCAGAAGTCCGAGCTCTTGCCCTCCTCCTTCCCCCAGTAGCTCTCTAAGGACCAGCACATCCTGCAGTCTGGGCCCCCTCTGAAGCCAGCCTAAGGAAAAGCAGTAGAACTCTAGAACCTGTATGGCGAGTCCCCAGCTCTGTGTTTACCGCCTAGCAAGTGCGGAGGCTATGTGAGGCAAGTTGTGCTTCTGGCAAGATGAACTCAAACCTGCAAGAGACAGCGTTGACTTTCTTGTTTATGTCATCCACCGCGGGAACTTCTATATTGCTGCGCTTTTAGGTGATATTATCAGATTTCAGTGGGCTCTACCACAGAAATGTATGCATTCTTAAGATTCTTGGCAGTGGGGAAAAGTTCATGTTTGTGCTGTTTAATGGGACAGTGTGAAGAATGGGCAGGAGGAGTTAGATGGGTTTGGCTTTGCTGCGTTCTCTTGCAGTGATCTGCTTCTGTTCTAGCATCTTTTTTAGTAGGAAGAAAATGTTCTGTCCTGTGTTTTCCACTACCAACTTGTTGAAGTTAGCTTTTTGCTGTTGCCTGTCCTCCCGTCACCATAAGAGACTGGAACGCTTAAGAAGGTATTTTGGTTTTGGCACCAAAGAGTGCCATCTGGGCCAGGGGGAAAGCTCGGTAGAATAAGCGCTTGCCTGGCAAGCATAAGGTCCTGAGTTCAGTTCCTGATACCACGAAAACAAGAAACAACATCAAAGAGGCCATCTTGCTTCCTGTGTACTTTATTTTGGCAACAGACTATTTTCTTTATCCACTTGAAGAAACTTCTGGAGTGCCTTTGAGGAGGTGCTCTAACACGAGACCTCGGGGAGTTGTGTGAGCCGCTGGGACGGCTCTGGCCTGCAGCCCAGTGACGGCGGTAGCAGGGTGGCCCGATGCCCACAGTTGGACTTTTGTTTGCTTTTTGTTGTTTTTTTCTTTTGTGGAACCGGGGATTGAACTCAGGCCCTTGCACTCACCAGGCAAGCGCTTATTCTACCGAGCCATCTCCCCGGCCCCATCGTTTGTTTTTTGTTTCCTTGGTCTTTTGCAGACAGGGTCTCACTATACACAGTTCAGGATGGCCTTGAGCTCACTTTCGTAGCCCAGGCTGGTCTGAAATGCACAATGATCCTCCTGCCTCAGCCTCCTGAGCATTTTTAAAGGTTTACAGGCATGCACCACCAAACGTGGCCTGACGCTGAGGGTTTCACACTAGCCTGAATGACACAAAAAGACTGTGTCGCAAACAAACAACTCCCGCTAAATTTTGTAGTTGTGAATATTAGAGGACAATTAAAAGACTCTCTAGATGGGGTGTCTGGGTACTCTGGGAGGTTGAAGCAAGAAGATTCCAAGTTTAAGGCCTTCCTGGGAAACTTAGCAAGACCATGTCTTAAAATTAAAAGGGCTGTGGGCCGGCAAGATAGCTCAGTGGACTAAACACCGGTTTAGGCAGCAAGCACAGTGACTGGGGTTCAATCCCTGATACCACAAGCCAGGCTGGCCCCACCCCCAGGGCACCGTGAGCTGGCCACTGAGACCAGGTGGGGTGGGACACTCCTGCAGTTCCAGTGCTGGGGAGGATGAAAACAGGATCACTGTGAGTCCAAACTGCATAGTAAGACCGTGTACCAAATACATAAAAATAAGTAAATAGGCTGAAGATGTAGCTCATCATTGCTTGGGTTTAATCCCCAGTACTAAAAAAGGAAAAATGATTGATGAAGATATAAGTTCGTGTTTGAAGTATTTAGCTTATCTTGTCTGTTACTGAGGGTAGACCTAAAGTCTCTCTCTGTTCTTGTGATGTTATCATTCCCATTTGGAAGTAGGAAAGCCAGTCTGAGAGAGACGCAAGTGGTACAAAGGCTACCAGCTTCACAGTCGTACTTAGATTGACTTTTATCCTAGCTCCACCTCTTCTTTTGGAGAGTGATGCCTGCGTCAGCCTCCCAAATGCTGGGATTACAGACATTCACTACCATGCAACATAATGAGAACTTGTCTCAAAATAAAAAATATTTGAAAAGGGGAAGCCGGATGTAGTGGCACATGCCTGTGATCCCAGCACTCAGGAGGCTGAGGCAGGAGGATTGCTGTGATCTCAAGGCCAGCCTCAACTGCATAGTGGAACCCTGTCCAAAAAAGACCAAATACGTAGTTAGAAGGGCTGGGAATGTAGCTCAGTGCAAAGGCCTGGATGTAATCCCCAGTAACACATGCATGCACAATTTAAGTGGTCTAGAATGCTCAAATTGATTGGCCAGTGCCTTTTCTACCCTACATGAAACAAAATTAGTATTGAATGGTTGCTTGGCAACTCATTCTTTGGTCCTGCAAATAAGTACTTCCTCTATTCCAGGAAGGCTAGGGGCGAACACACAGTGGTGTAGCGACCTGGAGGGAAAGACAAACGCACTGTTGTTCCATACGCGAGATGAGGGGTGGAGGCGCTCAGCTGCCTCAGGAGACTTCCCAGAGCCAGTGACGGCCAGGTAGAGACCGACAGCAGTGGAAGCGATGAGCACAGGAATTGAGGCGTCCAGGCGAGAGGCCCTATGCATGCCGGGGTCGAGAACACAAAGCACAGTCCAAGTGACTGCAGCACAGAGGGCAAGGAAGACAGTGGGCGCTAGAGGGGCGCCCAGGTGAGGTGGTGCACGCCTGCCACCCACCCAGCCACGTGGAAGGCGGAAGGGGGATCGCAGGCTCAGGCCCAGCCTGGGCCGCTTAGCAAGATCATGTCTCAAAATAAAAGACAGGACTGCGACCGTAGCTCAGTGTGGCCGCACACCTGGGTTCAGGCCCAACACCGGAGAGAGCAACAGAGAGAGCAGAGAAGCGGAGGTGACCGACGTTCTCAAGCAGCGGCGAGAGAGGGGAGGACACTGCAGCAACCCTGCTGTTTTGCTGTGGCAGAGGAGAAGCCTGCTAGCCGTGTGCACACCAGGCGCACACCACTGAGCGCCATCCTCGCCTGCAGAGGGTTTTGACAAGGGAGTGACCAGACCAGATTTGTGTTTCAGGAGTACCCTCGCCAGTGGCAACTACATTCAGAAAGCTTAAGCCAGCTGTCGTGGCTCACACCTGTAATCCCAGCACTTAGCGGGCTGAGGCAGGAGGATCACCATGAGCTGGAGGCCAGCTTGAACTACAGAGGGAGACTTTGTCTCAAAAAAAAAAGGCTGGGCATGGTGGTGCACTCCTATAATCCCAGCACTGAGAAAGCTGAGGCAGGAGGATTATTGTACATTCAAGACCAGACAAGGCTACAAAGTGAGCTCAAGGCCAGCCTGAGCTGCAAGTAAGACCCTGTTTCAGAAAGTTAAAAAAAAAAAAGAAAGAAAGAAAGAATGTAAGTTTAAGATTAGAGGCTGGGGCCCCACTAGGAAGCCATTACTGAAGTGCAGGTACAGACAGGGATATGGTAGAGTGGGGTAGTAGCAGAGGGGCAGTGTGCTTCAAAGATTTGTGGGAAAACAGATTGCCAGAGCTTGTTTGACCACGACAAGAGCAGAAGATGGGGTGACAGTCATCATTCTGTGCGGGCACTCTAGGTCCGTTGACCTGGTAGGTGGCCGGAGGGCGCAGAGCGGCTTGGCAGGAGGATCGCGGAGTATTTAGCTTTTCCAGCAAGCTGGGAAGACAGCTGCAAGGATGCTGCCCAAAGAGGAAGAGTCTAAGAGCTGTGGGTGTGGCCAGCACGGAGTCCAGGTCACCCGTGGGGATGGACAAAATCCCTGGAGCATGCAGACTGAGAAGAAGATAAGGCCTAGGAGCCATCCTTGAGGGAGCCAGAATGACTAGCCACATAAAGCAGGAGAAGGGGCAGAGAAGTCGCCGGAGCAAGAAAGGCAACGCGGGGAGTCCTGGGACACAGCACAAAGGGCACGCAGGAGGAGGGCGGGTGGCCACGTCCCCTCTGCCAAGAGGCCAAGTCCAGGGAGAACTGGGAAGGAAAGCCCCCAGGGTTCAGGGAGCTACCGGACGTCTCTGGCACTTTCTTTGTCGCTGGGACACAGTACCCCACCCCACAACTCAGAGAAGCTCCAGCTTATTTCGGCTCACAGTTTATAAAGCTTTTCAGTCCATGTTCAGGCGGAGCCAAGGCAGGAGGGAAGGAGCTAGAGCAGCAAATAAAGCCTTCGAGGCCACTCGCTCAGTGACCCGCACCCCCCGGCCTGGCCACCCCCACCCGTGAGCACGTGAGACTCGCAGGAACATCTAAGGCCAAGCCATGACATTCTGCCCCTGAGCTGAAGACTCATTCATTCATGCGCCTCTGTGCCAAATGTTCGCAGTCCATCTTTAAGAGGTGCCAAAGTCCTGCCTGTTCCAGCATTGTTGAAAAGTCCAGGTCCAAACTCTTAACTGTGAGCTCCTATTAAAAAAAAAAAAAAAAAAAATTAGAGTTAAATATTGCTGACATTTAAGGTACAGGGTAGACCCTGATGTTAATCGTGAGGGTTAGGGCTGGTGAGATAGCTCGGTGAGCTAAGCTTAGGCAAGTTCAAGGACCAGGGTTCCATCCCCAGCGCCACATGCCGCACCAGGGACCGTGGTGGCGCACAGCCATAATCCCCGCACTGGGGAGGCTGAAAACAGGAGGATCACTAGGAGTCTGAGCTGCAATGAGACCCTGTACCAAATAACATAAAACACAACAGCAGCAATGAACACCAGCTGCATTCTAGTGACCTTCCATACCTAGGAGATCGATTGCAATAACTACAGAGCAGTGGTCAAAACAAATTCAGCCCCCGCCCTCCTGGAACCTGGCCTTAGAGGTAACAAGGACCCAGGCCTGGAACACCAGTCAACCTCCCTGGGGAAGCATCGGCTGCTATGGGAATAGGAGAAAGGACCTCCTAACTTGGGCTGACGTGGGAGGCAGCCAGGGCTGGGCCTTCCTTTTACTGAGCACCTTCTAGGTACTGGGTACTACACTGACATTGGGAGTGCGGCTGCGAAGAAGGCTTGGAGGCTCTGAGTGTTGACGGCTCCATGCATGTTTGTGGCAACGGGAGAGGAAGCTGATGACATCTGGAGGGAGTCTCTGCTGGCCCAAGGGACCAGCACCCTCTGCACCAGAGAGTTCCAGGTGCACACAGTCCTGTGCTTTGCTTAACACTAGGCTCTTTTCAGAGCAGATGGCAGGTTATTAAAATCCAGCTTTGTTTACCCTCTCAGCCTTGAGTCTCAGTTGCTCACTGGATTAGCTCAGTGTTTCTTAGTCAACGTCTGCAGCATCTGCAGCAAGTACAGTTCAGCTCTAGTCCGAGAGTTGTGTTAATGGAACCGATCCTCTTCCCCTCACTGACTTTAGCCTGTCAGATGTCGCCTGTATCGCAATGAATTTCCACAAAGTACCACCGCAATTTTTTTTTTTTTTTTTACAAAAGGTACCTTATGGAAATAAATGTGACATAAAACAATCCATACATATTTCAAGTGCATAATTTGATCCGCTTTAACATTTGTGTACACCAGCCACCATCATCAAGATGAAAAACATCACCGCAGTCAGGCTAAAGGACACACCTGGCACCCCAAAGTCCCTCTGTCTCCCCATCATGCCCAGGTAACTGCTGTGCTTTCTGATGCTACAAATGGGTGGCTGTTTTCTCGTTTTTATGTAAATGAAACCAGCTAGTATGCTCCCTTTATGTCTGGCTTCCTTCATTTGCCAAAATTGGAATTATCCACGTTGTATGTGTCATTTCCTCCCTTTTCACACATTGGTCTCCTTCGCTCATGTTGCGGGGACACCAGGTCATTTCCAAGGTCTGCGCTATTGTGAATGAAGCAGCCGTGAACACTGGCATCCAGTTACTTGTATGTGTGGATTATACTCACAGTTACATACTACATATTCTTCCAGTAGTTATGTGCTATATTAATCATAGTTTATTATAATTATTATGTACTGCTGTCTTCACTTAGCATATGAAGCATTTTTTTTCCTCGAAGCATTTTCATATTTTTAGATTTATGATTATATTTTCTAGGTCAAAAATTAGAAAAATATATGACAATATATGTCGTGTGTGTGTGTGTGTGTGTGTGTGTGCACGCGCGCAGGGTCTCACTACGCAGCTTGGACTTGTAGTGATCCTCCTGGTGTCTGCCTCCCTAGTGCTGGGATTACAAGCATGTGCCACCATGCCCAGCCTCCATCGCCAGCTCAGTGTGCCCCAGGGGCCGGGCCAGTGTGGCATACAGCACCAGAGAGTGAGCCCTGGCCCCTGCACTTACCCAAGTCCACTGAGTTTCTGTCTTTTTGAAGCAGGGTCTCAAAAAAAGAAAAGAAAAAGAAAGAGAGAGAGACAGGGTCTCACTATGCTGTTCAGACTGGCCTCGAGCTCACTCAGTAGCCCACGCTGCTCTCCAGCTCGCAGTGATCCTCCTGTCTCAGCTTCCCGAGTGCTAGGAACACAGGTGTGCGCCACCATGCCCAGCTCTAAAAAAATTGTTTTTAGATCAAGATTGTCTTAGAAACTCTGCTGGTCACCATCATTTTGATTTCTTTTCCCCTCGGTGTTCTATGTCGCCATCATTTCGTACCTTCTTTCCTAACTCCATGACCCTGGAGAGAAACCCAAGCTTTTTCTCCGAGCCCCGCGGCAGCAGTGTAGTATTGAGCCCAGAGGAGCATCCGCTCGAGTTTTAATGATTTCCTGAGCTCGTTTATCAAACTATAATTTTGTCTTGCAGGTTTCTTGCAAGGCAAACTCTGCCTGGTGTCGAGCCCCCTTTTCTTCTTCAGTGGTGAGTATATTCGGCGGTGAAGCGCTGCCTCTGAGAAGGACTCAGTTAGTTTTGGGCCACCCTCTTTTCTTTATGCTACTGTGAGGACACAAGACATGAAATGATGTCTTGGTTTTCTTATGTCATTGGTGTGCGTTATGTTGTAAGCACTGGTGTCTGTGTTTTGTTTTCTAGCAGTGTTAGAGATTGAACCCAGGTATACTGTACTATTGAGCTACATCCTCCTCCCTTTCTATTTTGAAACAGTGTCTGACTCAGTTACTGAGGCTGGCACTGAGCTTACAACCCTCCTGCCACAGCCTCCCAAGTAACTGGAATTACAGGCACATTGCATTGCACTCAACTATAATTAGGACTTTTAATGGCTGCATAATAGTCCTTCATCAAGTACCTAAACCTTATTTAGCTAGTGATTTCTTCATGTAATGTTTAGATGACTTCAATTTTTCAATACCATAAAATAAACTTTTTATGTAGTTTTTCTTCTTTTTTACTTACTACATTAGGAGTGCAAACATGTCTGTGGCCTGTAGAAATTTAACTTTTTCTTCTTGAACAGTCTTGCTATGTGCACATATGTCATCAAGTGACCCCTGCCTCAGCCCCCTGAGTAGCTGGGACTAGAGGCCCAGCCGCAGGCCCGGCTTTTCCTGGAGGTGTGACTGAACCTGCCCAATTGTCTCCTACATAGCCTTTTTTTTTTTTTTAATTTTAGGGAAGGGTCTGCAGGGTGTTCGGGGTCTCACTACTAGATCAGACTCGCAGCAATCCGCCTGTTTACAGCCTCCCAAGAGCTGGGATTACGGGGCGCGCCCCACCATGCCCAGTCTCAGTTGCTGTCTCACTGCGCCCCGGGGACGGGACCAGCACAGCAGGCCCGGGGATTGAATTTGCAGGCTCTTTAATCTGCTGAGCTGTTTGGCCGGCCCTTACATAACCTTTTGAGTTGTTCCAACCGCCTGCCCACCGGTGATCTGCGGTGCCTAAGCCAGGGATGCTGCCCAAAACCTTTTCCGTGCGGAAGTATGTACACCCTATCACAGTGGCCTGCGTCGTCTTTGCTTCCCCGGCATATGATAAATTGAACATGGTTGGTCCCTTGTGGAGTCACGTTAAAATTGGACTGCTCTTGTGGCAGTCCTAGGAAGTGGTGCTGTTGTGAGCTGGTGAGGTTGTTAAGAGGAATTAACGGGGGTTGGCCAGATAGCTTATTTCCTAGTGTGCTGTATCCTACAGGCCCCGCCCCATAGGGCTCGCTAAAATGGAGATTGCGACTTGGCGTGCTGGTGCACGCCTGTGATCCCAGCGCTTGGGAGGCTGAAAACAGGAGAATCGCTATGAGTCCAGTCTATGTAGTGAGACTCCTAAATTCATTAAAAGAAGAAAAGGGGTGGGGATTGATAGCTTGCTTGCTCGTGGCCCCTTATGCCCTTTGCTGCGTCGTGACGTGGCACGATGCCTTTGCCAGGTACTGCAACCTTACCTTAGCCTTCTCGCCTCTAGAACTCAGATAAATAAGCTGCTTTCCTTTATACATTTCCAAGTCTCGGGCTGGTGAGATGGCTCAGTGGTCTAAAGCACCTACTTGGAACAAGCTTGGCAAAGCACAGGGACCGTGGTTCAATCCCCCAGCACGACATGCCAGCCAGCCCCGCCCCCTGGTGGGCTGAGCTGGCCACACACACACACATAAATAAATAAATAAAATTTAAAATAAAATAAATAAATTTCCAAGTCTCTGATAGTGTGTTACAAAAAAAGGAAATACATAAGATAGACCTCTTTGAAAGGAGCTACTTCCAGAAAACATCTGGATAGAAACATTTTTTTTTTTTTTTGGCAGAACCAGGGATTAAACTCAGGCCCTTGCGCTTGCCAGGGAAGTGCTTATTCCACTGAGCCATCTCCCTGGCCCCTGGATAGAAACATTTTAAAAGCCAGGCATGGTGGCACACACCTGTAATCCCAGCACAGGAGGCTGAGGCAGGAGGATTGCTGAAAGTTTGAGTCCAGCCTGGGCTACAAAGTAAATTCAAGCTCAGCCTCAACTGCATGGTGGAACCCTGTCTCAGAAAAACAAAAAAATAAAAAATAAGATAAATTTTGTATAGTCATATGACAGAAGGTGGGGCTAACAAAAATCATTGGCTAGTCTACATTAACACAGAGTGACTGATTTTCTAATATAAGCTTCACAGGGCCACTGGGCCTGGTGGCACTTGCCTATGTCCCAGCACAAGAGGGAGGCTGCAGGGGAAGGTCTCAAGTTTGAGTCCACCTGGGCAACTTGGATCGCTGCCTCCAAAAATGACAAGGGCTGGGAATGTAGCTCAGTGCAGAAACCCTAGTTCGGATCCCACCACTGGAAGACAAATGAAAGGTCTCCACAAGTGCTGCGCACCTTCATGGCGTGCGCTAGGTGGGTCGGGGGAATTGGCCAGGCTTGGAGCCGGCGTGACCCTGGCTGGAGCTGCCACTCCTTGGTGTGCACTGCAGGCAGGAATCGGCATGTGGCTAGCGTGTGTCTCCCTTGCCGGTGACACTCAGTCCTGGAGCTTGAGGCCAGGTCCTCAGAGGTACGAGACCTGCAGGCCTGCGCCCGAGCGCCGAGCTCCGTCCCGGCTCTTTCTCATTGTTTCCCTTGAGGTAGGATCTTGCTAAGTGGCCCCGCTGGGCTCAGACTTTGTACCCTCTTCCCTCAGCCTGGGTAGCTGAGGTTCCAGGCCTGCGTCACCATGCCCAGCTGCCCTGGTAAGGTCTCTAGAGAGAAGGAGATTCAGTTATCTGCCTGAGAGAACTCGGAAAGGAAAGCAAAAAGCAAAACTACAAATTAATGTAAACTTTTGGTTTCTTTTTTTCCTAGCCAACTGTAAAACTCTTCATCGATGGAAAATTTGTTGAATCCAAAAGTGACAAATGGATCGACATCCACAACCCAGTAAGCAAAAGCTTTAGAACTTAGAACTGACTAGCCTAGAGTCTTGGGCACGCTGGAAGGGGGGACCTGGGCGTTCGTCCCGGAACATATGGTACCGTCTAGATGACCGGGCAGAACCCAGCGAGGGCGGCCCTGGCCGGGGGTCCTGGCTCCTTTTTCCAACAGGCCACCAATGAGGTCATTGGGCGGGTCCCAGAGGCCACCAAGGCTGAGATGGATGCAGCTGTTGCCGCCTGCAAGCGCGCTTTTCCTGCGTGGGCAGACACGTCTGTGTTGAGCCGGCAGCAGGTCCTGCTCCGCTACCAACAGCTTATTAAAGACAACTTGGTAAGAAAGCTCAGTGGTATCGTGGTCCCCGCTGGCGCTGCGGGAGAGACCTCAGGGAAGGAGGGAGGCAGGAAAGAATATCCTTGCCTTATTTTCCATTTGTGTGTTTTCTCTCTAGAAAGAAATTGCCAGGTTAATCACAATGGAACAAGGGAAGACCCTAGCCGATGCTGAAGGCGATGTATTTCGAGGCCTTCGTAAGCCGGGAGCCCCTTGGGGGTTTTGGGAAAGAGTAAAGAAACCGGGAGGGGAGGTGGCTGCTTTATGTACACGTTGCTAGCCCTTCTTGTTTTTGCAATACTGGGGATCCAGTTTTCTTTTTTATTTTGGGACAGGGTCTCACTAAGTTGGCCAGACTGGTCTTGCATTTGTGATCCTTCTGCCTGGTTTCATGGTATCTTTTTTATATTTGTTTTTAAAATGGTAATACCTGTCAAGTACCACTGAGAATGATTTATTTCATTTTTTATTTTACTCTAATGATCTTCCACTAGGCATTTATATATCACTGTCTTTTCCCCATACTGACTTTTTTTTTTCCAGTACTTGGAATTGAACCCAGGGCCTTCACAATGGGCTACATCCCCAGTCCTCTTTTTTATTTTTTGTTTTGAGACAGGGTCTCACTTGAGTCGCTAATTGCTTAACTTGAGCTCAAGCTTTTGGTCCTACTGCCTCAGCCTCCCAGAACGCTAGGATCACAGGCATGAGCCACCAGGCCTAGCTGAGAGACCTATTCTGTCCAAGCTGGAGGGACGTGAGCCAGTGCTCGCTCACCTTTGGCCCAAGTCCCCCCTCCCCAGGGCTGCACAGCATGACAAGGCAAGTGGTGCTTGGGGCGGTGTGCCAGTGGCCTGACTCCTTCTGTGTTCCAGAGGTGGTTGAGCATGCCTGCAGCGTGACGTCTCTCATGCTGGGGGAGACCATGCCATCCATCACCAAAGACATGGACCTGTATTCCTACCGCCTGCCTCTGGGCGTGTGTGCAGGCATCGCTCCGTTCAATTTTCCTGCCATGATACCCCTTTGGATGTTTCCCATGGCCATGGTTTGTGGAAATACTTTCCTAATGAAACCGTCAGAGCGGGTCCCTGGAGCAAGCATGTTGCTTGCTAAGTTGCTGCAGGATTCCGGCGCCCCCGATGGGACGCTGAACATCATCCATGGAAAGCACGAAGGTAACTGCCTGTCTGCGCGTGCGGGGCCGCCTAGTCTGGCCACCAGGAAACCAAGGCGCGGGGTGCTGACTGGGTACTTTAGGGTGAGAAAAGTAGAGGGAAAGGGAGGGAGGAACAGTGACCTCCATGTGTGAAGGCAGTGTGCGCAGACTTGTGGTGTGGTGCTCGTGTAACTAGCGAGAGGACCAGCGGGTCTTGCCTTTCACGCCACGAGGGACACCAGACGTACAGACTGGGACCAGATAGAGATGAAGGAAGAGTTTTGTTTTGATAAGGGGATTCATGAGGAATTTAACTGAAAGAATGTGTCGACATCAGAGGAGTTGAGGGCCTTCTCATTCATATAATAGCTAACACCTAAATAGTACTGCCAAGATTTAGGTGCTATTCCTTGTTCTATCATACCTGGTTGGGAGTGTGGCTCAGCAGAACATCTATGTCACTGGGCACGCAGAAGGCCCTGGGTTTGATCCCCAGCAACAAATAAATAACTTAGCCAAGAAAGAGTTACATATATACTTTTCTTCCCACTTAATCTTGGTACCAATTATTTAAGGTCAGTGCTACTTTTTTCATTTTAAATATGAGAAAATTGAAGCATAATGCAAGTAGGTTAATTTGCCCAAAAGTCACAGTGCTAGAAACCATCAGAATGCCTACCCAGGGATTCTGTACTTTATTGATTTAGGGTCTCGCCCTGCAGTTCAGCCTAGCCTTGAACTCACTACATGCCCTGGGCTGGCCTCCTCCCTCAGCCTCCCAAGTGCTGGGGGTACAGGCGAGCACCACCTCGCCCAGCTGGGTCTTGCTTTTAAATCCTATGCCTTGTTGTCCCTCATGGGAGGACACTGTACTATCTGAGGGTTTCACTGCAAAGACGGTGGAGGATATGTCACATTCATAAAGGACACAAAGGAAGGGCTATACATTGAAAGGCTATTACTAAAGGACAATAGATGTAGTCTTCAGAGTTAGGAAAAAGGCTAAGTAGGATTTGTAACCTAAAGAACATAAGAAAAATAAATATGAAAGAACTTCATACTGGGAATCCAAGATAAAAAAAAATATATGAAAAGTTGATTCCTTGGTGGTGGGGAAGGGGAAATGACCTTCTAGAGAAGACTGTGGCTGTTTGTTCTCAGTGGTAATCATTTATTTTCTTCTCAAAGCTGTGAATTTTATTTGTGATCATCCGGACGTCAGAGCAATCAGCTTTGTGGGCTCCAACCAAGCTGGAGAGTACATCTTCGAGAGAGGGTCAAGACACGGCAAGAGGGTTCAAGCCAACATGGTGACGTTTGCCTCCTGCTCCCCCAGGCCTTGTTGTGTGTTTAAATGAGCCAGGGCCAGCCCTTGGGCAGAGGGGCGCTCACTCCCCGTTCATGCCAGGATTTCTCCTGTGCTATCCCAAACGTCTTAGCCAGGAAGTTTGTGAGTTTTACCGTCACACTGACACCTTCTAGCATACACAACGCATCTCGGTGACACTGGGCGCATTCTTCAAGAATGTCAAATTCTTTCGGCTTCCGTAGTAACAGCCAGATTCAGGTTCTGTTATTTCCTTTATAACATGCTTCCAGCCCTCAAACTTTCCTTCTTTTAAGGAATATTTTTTTTCCTTTTTTGTATTTAGTACATGGTCTCACCACACAGATCGGACTTGTAGTGATCCTTCCTGTTTTTCAGCCTCCCAAACGCTGAGATTAACAGCCTGCGCCACCATGCCCAGTCTCCATCTCAGCACGCCTAGGGCAGGGCCAGCATGGCAGGCCAGGGATCCAGCCCCCAGCTCCTGCATCTGCCTAAGCAGGCGCTTGTTTCAGGGATACATGTTTTAAGGAATATTCTAACTAAGGGATTCTGAGGTATCAGTCTATTTAAGGGACCAGAAAAAGCTAAATCTCTCTGATATGTGCATATTGTTCACTTTTACTGTTCTAGTTCCTTGCCAAATGTTGAGCAGTTTTTTTTTATATGATACTAGAGATTGAACCCTCACACATGCATGCTGTTACTGAACTACATCCTCTGCCCTTTTGATTTTTTAACTTTGAATCAGAGTCTTGCTTGCTAAATTGTACTGGTGAGCCTGAGACTTGTGATCTTCCTACCTCAGCTTCCAAGTTTCTGGGATTACAGCCATGGGCTACCATGCCAGGCTGAGACTCTTTCTAACAATAAATATAAAATCCTGTTACACCTGTCTTATCCTTCTCCCCCACCAGCCTGCCCCCTCTAGGACTAAACAGTTCAAAAGCATAGGCCTTTGAACTGAGGCCTTTGAACTGAGGTATATTTCCAGGCTTTCAAAAAAATTTTTGAGACAGGGTCTTGATATATTGCTAAATTGGCTGGGCATGGTTACACATGCTTATAATCCCAGCACTTGGGAGGCTGAGGCAGGAAAATCGCTGCAAGTTCCAAGCCACCTTGGGCTACAAAATGAGTTCAAGGTAAGCCTGAACTGCATAGTGAGATCCTATTTCAAACAGACCAATAAAAAAAAAAAAAGCCCCCCAAAACCATAAACTGGTCCCCCATAGAGCTGCGATCACAGGCTGCACCTCCATGCTCAGCTGTCTCATCCTTCTTCCTCCCTGTTGTGCAAGGGATAGCTACTATGAACAGAGAAACTTCATAACATGCTGGGGAGATAGCTCAGCAACGGCTTATGCCCTGCCTGGCAAGCGCAAGGTCCTGCATTGGATCCCTGGTACAAAAAAAAAGAAGTAACAGACATGGTAACTACCCATGCAGCCATCTGAATTATGGATCATCCTATGCAGAAAGACATACCTGTAGCTGTATTACGTAGAAGCAAGCCAGTTTGGGAACCTCTTTCTAGAAGTGATGTATCAGGTCTGCCTTCTGCTTTGACTCTCAGGTTACATTACTATCTGGTGGCTCTCTGTTTGTACTGTTCTTCACTGGAAACCCAAGTAGATGGCAAATTCTTTCCTAACGTAGGAAAAAGACGGGTATTTTCCTCAGTTCCTGAATGTAATGTTTAGCCTATTGATTTGAATGTGACTGGCGCTTTTTATTTTCTTTTCTTCCTTCATTGGTAATAGTTTTGATCTAAATAAATACATATCACTAGGCATGGTGGTGTACACCTGTAATCCTAGCACTTGGGAGGCTGAGGCAGGGGGATTGCCATGAATTCAAGGCCAATTTACGCTGCATGGTAAGCTCAAGGCCAGTCTGAGCTACATCGCAAAACCCTGTCTCCAAAAACAAAAAAGGTAAACACAAAAATAACTATCAGTTTATCAACTAGAAAATAGAGGAAAAGTAATGCGGAGACTTGCCCAGTCTTGCTAAGACATTAGCAGTAAAAGCATGAAAAATAATTTTTCTACTTTTTTTTTTTTTTTTTTTTCAGAGCCAGGGATTGAACTCAGGCTCTTGCGCTTGCCAGAGAAGTGCTTATTCCACTGAGCCATCTCCCCAGCCCTCAATTTTTCTACCCTTAAAACACCAACAATGGAATTCTCTAGTCCTCTACTTAAATGGGCACTTAAAATTTCAGGGGTTTTAACTTCTTAGTTTAATTTGATTAAGGAAGACCATGTACTTTCTGTATTTCTTTAGGGAGCCAAAAACCACGGAGTTGTCATGCCAGATGCCAATAAGGAAAACACCCTCAACCAGCTGGTGGGCGCGGCGTTCGGAGCTGCTGGCCAGCGCTGCATGGCTCTTTCAACTGCAGTCCTCGTGGGCGAAGCGCGGACGTGGCTGCCGGAGCTGGTAGAGCGCGCCAAGAAACTGCGAGTCAGTGCAGGTAGGCGGCCACCTCCGCATGCTGCCCCGTGCCAGGAAGCTCCGGCTTTGGTGCTGTCCTTGGCCGCCCTCACCCCTCTGTGACTGCTGTCATTCAGAGTCATTTCTGATTTGCAGCCACAGTTTAAGATAATAAAGACCTTCGTACTTGTATTGCTTCGTAGGAGACCAGCCCGGAGCTGATCTGGGCCCCCTGATCACCCCCCAGGCCAAAGAGCGAGTCTGCAGTCTGATTGGCAGTGGAGCGAAGGAGGGCGCGTCCATCCTGCTGGATGGGCGAAACATTAAAGTCAAGGGCTATGAAAATGGTAACTTTGTGGGGCCGACCATCATCGCCAACGTCAAGGTGAGCAGCTCTTATTTCACAAAACGTGAGAGCTTAAGGCAGCTCAGAGGCTATGCAGTTTCATCTTTCTAATTTATAAATGAAGGCATTTAATTATTAAACCGCAACCCTCCCCAGGGTTGCACGGTCATTTTATCTGGAATCGGATGGCCTCTCCCCAGCCTGTCAGCACTTCCATCTCTGTCAGCACTGCCCAACCCAGAGGTGGCGTGTGGAATCAGCCGTAAGCATGTGGCTGATTCTGGCTGTGTTCTAATACACTTGATTTATGGATGCACATTGGAATTTCATGTAGTTTTACATCATGAAATATTCTTTTGATAGTTTTCTCAGCCCTTAAAAATGTAGAACTCATTCTTACCCTTCGCAGGGTACACACACAGCAGCCACGTTCGGCCCCAGGCAGTGGTCGGTCAGCACTGTCTTGCATTAGTTACGCTGGCTGCCTGTCCAGTTCTCCCTCCAACTCAGTAAGCCAGCCACCAGGTTCTGGCCCTAGTCCTGCGGAGCGGATCCAGGGAGTACTGAGCTACATGCCCAGCCCTTTTTATTATTTTGAGACTGGGCCTTGCTAAGCTGCCCACACTGGCGCAAACTCACAGTCCTTCTGCTGCAGCCTCCCACGCAGCTGGGAGAGCAGGTTCACCACCACAGCTGGCTCCAATCTTAAACAGCTACTATGTGCCCAACACTCAGATATATCTTCCCAAGAAAGAAAGAAAAAGAATTCATTTGTCAATTTTTATTTATCAAAACTCTGAGTCTCTCAGTTAGTATTTATGACTAGGTTGAGAGTAGGAAGCTTTTTGCTCATATATCTCCACTATACTGATGGATACTTGGGACTGCACTCTGGACGCAGAGCCGTAGAGCACAGATCTGCTGGGCAGCCAGCGGACTGGAAGCAGCGCTGAGGACGTTTCAGCTGGTAGGTGTGACCCAGCAGCCACAGGACAGTGTGCAGACATTCGTGGGAGGCAAAGAAGTGAATGAGAACAGACTGCTGATGTTAGAGAATTTAGCATGTGGTTGTAATCAATAGGAATTTCAAGTTATGGAGCACAGGAAGAGAGGCCCTTTCTTTAAAAGTGATTTAAAATGATCGTAGAGGCCAGTGAAAGCCGCCCTGTAAGCAGCTCAGTAGCAAGAGTGCCAGACAAGCCCCACACCCTCACAACCCACAACGCTGATTTCTTTCTGGACACATCCCTCCTGGCAGCCAAATATGACCTGTTACAAAGAGGAGATTTTTGGCCCAGTTCTTGTGGTCCTGGAGACAGAAACACTGGATGAAGCCATTAAGATTATAAACGACAACCCATACGGAAACGGAACAGCCATCTTCACCACCAATGGAGCCACTGCCCGGAAATACTCCCACCTGGTGGACGTGGGACAGGTTTGTGAGCAGAAGCTACTACGGTTCTCCTAGCTCTTCCATTCCTGAGAGACAGTGAGCAGTGATCAGTCACTGCAGCCTGTTTAAAGTTTGCCCCTTTATGTTTCCCAACACGCCCATTCTGCCTCAGGCGTGAAAGTTTGTCGTGTGGAAGATTTCTATTCCACTGTGTCTCTCAACAACAAACAAACATAACGTTCTGATATCAAAGAAAAAGTAGGATCAGCCTTTCTGTTGTCTTCATGCTTCTCCACGGAGAACCCAGTGAGTCCTTCGCGTCCTCTGCCTGGGCATTGACATGGGTTTGCTCTGCTCTAGGTGGGCGTCAACGTCCCCATCCCAGTGCCTTTGCCAATGTTCTCGTTCACCGGCTCGCGAGCTTCCTTTAGAGGAGACACCAACTTCTACGGCAAACAGGTAACTCGAGTGAGGTACCTTTACCTTTAAGAAAATTTCTTGAACAGATTCAGTAGCAAGGATTCTACAGAGAAGGGCTGTCAGCAGCTTCAGTGGTCTCATATATTGGGCCACAGGGTTTCTCAGAAAGTCCTCTGGAAAAGATTTAAAAGTTGAAAATTTTGTCAAAACTGCCTCTTCCTAAACACTTCAAGGCAACAGTTTGGGGACAGAGAATCTAGAATCCCAAGCCTTTATCGGTTCCAGTTCCCCTGCCTGTCTCTGCCCTCTCCTGGTGCAGCTTGGCTTCAAGAGCAGAGGCCTCCAGAAACTTGGTGGCCAGCACTGCTCTTCCCTGGTGCGGGCGTGCTCCCTGTGCTCCCACTGCTCAGTTATTAGTTTACAAAATACTGTTTTTTCTGGCCTGGAGGTTGAAGCCAGAGCTTCGACACCTAGTGGTAGCCTCAGCCCTTTTCTAATATTTTTATTTTGAGATAGGATCTTGCTAACTTGACCAAACTAGACTCCAACCTGTGATCCTCTTGCCTCAGCCTCCCAGAGCACTGAAATTACAATTGTGTGTCACTACATTTGGCTGTTTACAAGAAATGTCATTGATCTGGGTGGGTGTAATAGCTCATATTTGTAATCTCAGCAGTCCTGGGGAGCACAGGTTTTAGCCCAACCTGGGCAGCTTGTAACTTAGCAAGATCCTGTCTCAAAAAAAAAAAAAAAAAAAAAAAAAAA